AAAAAAAAAAACTAAAATACATTGTTCTTTAAGATCTTTATTGCGGTTTGAAACATATTATAAGAGTTTTTTTTTTACCAACAGTCTAATGAACTATACATAGTTCTTAACATAGTAATTAAAAGTACCACTGTCTGCTTTGCTATTGGTGTCGTGTTTAAACGGCTCACCATCTAGTTGAAATTTGCCATATGTTGGGGTATAAATAAGGTGTGGTCAATCAAAGTAGAAACAGGTGGGTGAAAGAGAAATTTTTCGCACCGTTACATCTGCAAAGAGACGTCCTAATCTACAATTGGACCCCTAAGAGGTCAGGGCAGAGGCATAGCCAGAACATTTTTATAAGGGTGGCCAAACAATAACCAATGTACACTGAGGGGGGGCTGAGAGTGGATAGGCGCCAGAACCTCAGGGGCAGTCTATACTATTGCAACAGGAAAATCAACAAGCACAACATCAATATTTTCTAAATAAAGACAAGCTATACTTGCCTACAGCCTGTGCTAACAAATAGACACATATATTTCAACATCCGAACTTTTTAGATAAAACGTATAGTGGATACAAGGTTTGAATTCTGGGGCAAACATCTCTTCCTTTGTCATTACTCATCTACTTTTATTAACAATTATTCTGCATAAAATTGATATTTACAAGTGCTAATATATACACAAATTGACTATTACGTTTTTATTAAAATATTTATTTATGATTTCACTGAAGACACCTAGATGACATTCATAGACACATAATTTTCTCTTTACCCCTATAACACAAAATATAGTTCTGAAAAGAGCATGAATTATCATCTTTAATGTTGTTCTATTGATGTGCATAACTAACTTCGTTGTCAAGTAATTAATATATAAAAAATGTAAATGTTTTACTCTCCACTTGAAAGGTATTACTGCTGCCACCATCTGTATTAAGGCTGATTTATACTTTGAAACTAGGTCCCCTGCGTAGGTGTCGCAGTGAACAAAAATCCATCCCCGCCCCCTCCACAGGCACTCCGCTGCATCTCTCCCAAATTATGACTGACTACAGACAGTGCCATAGACAGGAGGCTGGCATGTTTTGTTTTTATGATCGAAATTGCAGAAAACAACTCGTGAATTTTGACCAGCCAGAAGAT